TTGTAAAGCAAACTGAAAACAACCCAAATGACCAAATGGTAGACAATTTATAGTAAATCCTTACAATGAAGTAAAATAGGTTACAAAAAAGTATGATAGCTTCAGATGTTTTAAATATATATATTTGGGGCGCCTGGGTGGCGCAGTCGGTTAAGCGTCCGACTTCATCCAGGTCACGATCTCGCGGTCCGTGGGTTCGAGCCCCGCGTCAGGCTCTGGGCTGATGGCTCAGAGCCTGGAGCCTGTTTCCGATTCTGTGTCTCCCTCTCTCTCTGCCCCTCGCCCGTTCATGCTCTGTCTCTCTCTGTCCCCAAAATAAATAAACGTTGAAAAAAAAATTAAAAAAAAATAAATAAATATATATATTTAGGGAAAAAATACAGGATATTTTCTAAAATGTTATCTCTGGGTAGTAAAATTATGGGTAATCTTAAGGTTTATTTAGAGAGCGAGAGAGCAAGAGCACATGCATGCATGAGTGGGGAAGGGGCACAGAGAGACTCCCAAGCAGGCTCTGCACTGTCAGTGCGAAATGAAGCCCAATGCGGGGCTTGAACCCATGAACTATGAGATTACGACCTGAGCCGAAATCAGAAGTTGGACACTTAACCAACTGAGTCACCCAGCCACCCCAATTAAAATTTAATGTTCTTTTTGCTTATATTTTCTACACCGCTTATAGTGAATGTGACCTTGAATAAGTCAGTTAACCTCTCTGAGCCTTATCTCCAAAATGGGGATACAGTAGCACTGTACATATAACATTGTAACTTGTTTGAGGACTAAACAAAATTATACATGTAAGATGCTTAGCATACTATCCACTACATAGCAAGGGCTCAACACAGAGCAGCTTGCTAGTATGGTTGTGATGAACATTACTACTTTAAAAAAAAACAAAAATGTTTATATATTTTGAAAGAGAGAGTATGCTCGAGAGCTGGCGAGGGGCAGAGAGAGAGGGATAGAGAATCCCAATGCTTGGGGCGCCTGGGTGGCGCAGTCGGTTAAGCGTCCGACTTCAGCCAGGTCACGATCTCACGGTCCGTGAGTTCGAGCCCCGCGTCAGGCTCTGGGCTGATGGCTCAGAGCCTGGAGCCTGTTTCCGATTCTGTGTCTCCCTCTCACTCTGCCCCTCCCCCGTTCATGCTCTGTCTCTCTCTGTCCCAAAAATAAATAAACGTTGAAAAAAAAAAAAAAAAGAATCCCAATGCTGTCAACACAAAGCCCAACCTGGGACTTAATCCCACAAACTGTGAGATCATGAGCTGAGCCAAAATCAAGAGCTGGACGCTTAACCAACTGAGCTACCCAGGCACCCCATTACTACTTTCTTAATAAGAAAAAAAAAAAAAAGTTAAAAACAAACAGAAAAAGCCCAGAGCAGACAACTGTCTCACCGACTTCTCTGCAGTCTCAAGCCCATTTCATGACACAAAATTCTGGAAGATGATCAAGTAGTAGTGTCTATTAGGGCTCCCTTGAGGCTGCCTGGCTTCACACTTGGTTATCCTGGTTAAGTCTCAGGCACTCACCTGCCTAGGAGTCCACTAGACTGTGAGCTCCTAGAGAGCAGGTATCACCTTAAACATCTGCCTCAGCCCAGTGCCTGGCAACATTTTGTAAAAACTCAGCGAATATCTACTGGCATTCTCTGGACAGAGAGGTGCATAGGAAGGATGATATGGATAGGAGATGGGTGATTTGGAATCCTGCAAGGCTGAGGCCATAGTAGCCTTTTTAAAGAGGCAGAGGCCTGGAGTAAGGGCAGGTTTCATGTCACAATAGCAACCCCTCACTCATGATCCATTCATCAGAATTCTTCTATATTTCCACATAGACATCTTCACCCACATTTTTGCACAAGCTGACCTCTTTGCCTGGACTACTTATTTCCCTTCTCCCCCATCTACTTCCTACATATTCTTTAAGGTTCAGCTTCAAAGAACACCTCCTCTTGGAAGCCCCAGGCTTTCATTGTACCTCAACAGTTCAGGCTGGCAGGGACATTTCTCAGGACTCCCTCACTGGTTCAGGCTTATGAAATCATCAAAGTGCCCTCAGGATTCCCCTACCAATCCCATCTTACCATTCCCAGGAAAAAGAGCTAAAGACCATAATAAGAGAGATTCAAATTAGGTATCAGGAAAAGATTCTCAATGACAAATGAAAAGTGACTGGAGTGACTACATGAAAAGAGAAAAGAAGAAAAAACCTCTAAGGGATCTTTCCCTTCCAGGTCAGGGCAAGTGGAAATTTCACTCAGCCAAGTGACAGATGGGAAGGTGCCTTAGGTGCTTCAGGGCCTAGGTTACCTAAAGGTGAGGTTTTACCTGCTGGAGCATCCTGCTTCAATGTGGTCAGCCAGGGTTCTGGGTCATAGACACAAGGAGTTCTATCCACCTGGTCATGGGGGCACAGGCTGGAGCATGGGTCCAGCAAAGGGCTTAGTTCCAGAGGAATCTGAGAAGAGTCACCCCCAGAGCCTATGACATGAGAGAGAAAACAAGGGCCACACACAGGTAAGGGCTTCTCCAGAGTGACTCACTCTTGCTCCTCGCACCAAGCATGAGGAACTGCAATGAGAACCAGGGCAAGCCCGGGCAAAGAGGAAAAGTCTGTCCTATCCCCTGCCAATTAGGGAACAGGGAAAACTTTTATGAGAACCTCGAGAGGCTCCCGGGGCTCCTTCAGGGCCAGTTTTACTACAGGGGTTTGAGGTAGGGCTACATATGTTCTGAGTCAGTGTGCCATGGAGGATGAAGACACTAGGAGACAGAGAAGTCTCATGTCCTATCCTCTCCATATCCTATTTTAGTATAGTCAGTAACTGATAGAGCAGGGAGGCTGGAGTCAATTCCTGATCCTCTAGGAAAGTTGTTGTAAGGGAGCAAAATCACAGCTTAGTCATTCATAGGACAGCCACATCACCTTCCTGGCCCACCTTGATCCCTCATCTTGAAAATGGGGATAGTAAAATCTACCTTACAAGGTAACCTTCAGGTGGGTTGTGAAGGTCATTGATGTCATGGGAGTACAAATCTGAATATTCACTCAGAGGGGGAATATTGTTAGTACTACTCAAGACAGATAATCCATTTGGGGACACTAATCAGGTAGAACAGTCCAGTGTCAACGTTAAGAAGGCAAGGATTTCAGAGGAAAATCTGTCTCAGAGACGTAGTGTTGTGAGGCTGTACCCAGGCCAATTTCTGAAAAACTGTAAATGACCCTCAGACTCAGAATTTCCCAGATCTCACACCTCCCTAGCAAGAAGGGATGAGGATGAGGGGTGTCTGTAATGAATTAACCCTGGCAGAGGCTTTTTTGAGGCTCTGAATACATCCAGCATTTGAAAGAACTCAGGGATAAGGACTTCACGGAAACTGGAAAAAGGAGAGAGGGCATCAGAAACGTGTTGGGCACATTCACCTTGGACACTAACCATATGGTGTCCAAGAGAGAGCCATGAGGAGGCCAACCAAGACTCAAGGAGAACAAAGCTCTCTCAACTCGAAGCTCATTTTAAGAGAGGATCAAAGGGGGAGCATAATAGGTTGTGGAGTTAGAAACGAAAGACCACAACTCCCGCAAGGCAGATCACACTAGCTCTCTAAACCTTATTCCCTTTACTCGTTGGCAAAAAGGAATACTAATATCTACACCTCAAAATGCCGAGTTAAGGATCAAATGGGCTAGTACCTCAGAAGAAGCTTTGCAAAAGTTGTTTATTACGATGCAGCGTTCGTTCATAGCCAGAGTCAAGTCAGATGAGAGCGGTTTTCTCCAGTTCTCCCAGCTCTTGCTTTCTCCAGTTTTCGCGGTTACCAGCCTAGAATTTCTGGAAAGGGTGTGACCACCGTGGGTAGAACAGCGATGGTAATGAACAGATGAAACACCAAGGCAAGAAGCAACCTGATCACTAGGCTCCTCCTCCCCAGCCTCAGGTTCCTCCTGGGCTTAGAGGGCAGTGGGAGGGCAGACGAGAAAATCTGGGTGAGGGTCCTGGGAACCCAAGGGGGGCCATCCCCAGGTTCACGGCGGGAACCAGGACTTCCTCTCTGGACGAGGTGCCGCTCCGGAAGCACCTGGCACGGGGAGAGCACGTCCTTCCCAGGAAGGTGGATGTGACCCTAGCCAAGGGCGCGGCTACCTTGACGCTTCCCGGTACCAGCCGCCCCTTCCCTGTCCCTAGGAGGACGAGGAGAGGGGCAGGAGCCGGGACTCAGCCTACCAGCTGAGACCTTTCCCCTACTTCGGGCTGCCTCCTGCCAACAAGGTGGAGAGGTGGAGGGTGACCATGGAAGGTTCTTGTTCTTGGCAGGGGCCAGGAGCTGGGCTGCCCTCTCCTGGGATAAGAGACGGTCAAAAAGGAAATGGGAAAAAGGAGAGGAAGACGCCCCCTGTTCCTCAGCGCTCCATGGACAAACCTGCCCCTTCGGGGTCGCAAAACGCTTCGGATCTGGGCTGGGGGTGACACTCACCGGTCCCACGGCTTGAGCCGCGAAGCCGACTGCGAAGGCGGGCGGGCCGGGAGAGGCGGCGGGAAGAGCCTGGGAATGAAAGGGAAGAGGAAAGGGCGGGAGCGAGCCGGGGTGGAGAGGAAGCCTGGGCGGCCGGAGCGCACGAGCTGGCTGCTGCTCTGACACAGTGGCCAGAGCGGGCCGGCTCCTCCCCCGAGGCGGGGCGCGCACCGGCGGCGCGGGGCGCACGTGGCCCGCTGGGGATGCCGGGGTCTGAGTTAGGGCTTCAGGTGGGACAAACTATTTTGAGAAGCTGGGGTAAGATGGGGATGAGCCGCAGGGCTCCCGTGTTCTGGCGGGAGAAGCAGGGCTTCCGGGGCCTCACAGGGCCGTGGGGTCCTTCAGTAGAGGACGCCGTGGTTGAACACTGAGCCGGGGCCTCAGACCCCACCACTCCGACAGAGCCCCGTCAAAGGGTTCGAGAGGGTGCGGTGAGACGCGTGACGCGCCTGCTCCGCTCGGGGCTCCTCTGACGGACCGGGACGCAGCAAGCCCACCACCGGAAAGAACAGGCATGGGGAGACATCGGGGCCGGGAAACTGGCTCCAGTCCTGGGGGCGGGGCGCGCGCGCAGAATCCACCCGCCCGGAAGCGCAGGCGCCCCACGTCGGCCGGAAGCCGGGCTCGGGAGGCGGAAGCGGGTTGCTCCCAGGGGGCTGTGCGGCTGCGGTGGGAGCTTGGCAGCGGGGCTTATAGAGGGCTAAACTGCCAGGGCGCCGAGACACCAAAGGCACGTGAAGTGTAAGGGCCGCCACAGCCGTGTCAGACGGGGAAAGGACTCCTTTATTTTTAAAGGCCAGTTTTTAAAAATTTTTTAATTTGAGAAAGCAAGAGAAAGTGCACGTGAGAGGGTGGGGGGACAAAGGCAGAGAGACTCTCAAGCTGGTAGAGCGGAGCCAGCCACAGGGCTCGATCCCACCACCCTGGGATCATGACCGGCCTGGAAATCGAGTCCGAGTTCAACTGACTGAGCCACCCAGGTGCGCGCCCCCACTAGTATCGGTTTGTTACAGTGAGATATTGTTGTTGGCTCAGACCATCAGGCATGTATGCATTCATTTGTTCAACATGGTTCTGGTTTAGTCAACAAACTTCTTCCTGTGTGCCACTTTTCAGACACTGATACATGACAGAAAGGTGTTTTACATCCCTTTGAACCACTAACACTAGTGTGTGCCATACACCCATGCCTCCCTGCCCTCGCCCCTTTCCCCAGTATTAGCATCCATTCTACCTATCTACACCTTAACCTGAAAACTGGTTAAAACTGGCTGTAGGGGCGCCCAGGTGGCTTTATCGGTTGGGCAGTCAACTTCGACTCAGGTCGTGAGCTCGCAGCTTGGGAGTTCCAGCCCCACATTGGGCTTTCTGCTGTCAGAGTGGAGCCTGCTTCAGATCCTGTCTCCTTCTCTCTCTTCCCCTCCCTTGCTCGTGCTCTAAAAAAAAAAAAAAAAAAAAAAAAAAAAAAAGTATGTAAATGAGGTAGAGAGACTCCTGGAGCTCTGGATGTCACTGGAGAACTAGTATTTTGTACTGGAGGCAATGGGTTCAGAGAGGCTGTTCACACAAACCGAAGTACTCCAAGGTGTACTTAAATGCCTTCTCTCCCTGTCCCTCTTGGCTTTGACTTGAAGTCATTAGTTAGGTGTATTCAATTTGTATTACAAAATCTTAATGACTTATCCTATACTTTGTAATAGGAATTCCTAGCTGACTGATAACATTTTCAGGGGTTATATCCGAAATTGCCTTTTGAGTCTGCCTTATACTGAGAATAGCTAAAGGTTTTTAACCAATAATTTCATACTAGTAGTATGACATTCTTTTCCTGATGTGTTAGTGTTAGGTTTCTTCCCACAATCTTTGGAAGGAAAATCACAAATTCTAGTTTCTGCTCTGATTTGAAATCATTACAGCCTAAAGTTCTGCTCTGAAACCTAAGAATAAGGGTAAAATCCAGTAAGGTTCATATATATGTCAATTCCACAAGAACTTTGCTTTTCCAATGCATCCCTTTGCTCATTTTCACAGGAAGAAGGAAAAAAATGTCTCAGAAGCAGATGAAGGAAGCTTTTGTCAGTAACCACAATGGAACCAGCGTGCTGGAAGTCACCCAGGGCTTGTGTTTGCCTGCACTCTGTATCGTGTGCAGAGGGCTCCTGATCATTCTCTCACAGCACTTGTGTTCTTCACATACCTGGAGAACTAGATTCTTCATTGACTTTGTTTCCCTAATAATTCCCCTGGTGGCCACTTTGACCATTTTGTCTTCATTTGTCCTCCTTGAGCACCTTGCTGTAATTATCTGTGGGGCAGGGCTGTTCTATCAAATATACTGCAGGAGAACTTGTGCCAGAATGCCTGTCCAGAAAATGATTGAAAAATTCTTGAAAATCAGTCTAGAATCTGAATACATTCCAGCCATCTCTTGTTTCCGTGTAATTAACAGTGCATTTACTGCTATTGCCATTTTGGCTGTGGACTTTCCACTTTTTCCCAGAAGATTTGCCAAAACTGAGCTCTATGGGACAGGAGCGATGGATTTTGGAGTAGGAGGTTTTATTTTTGGGACTGCAATGGTTTGTCCAGAAGTTAGGAAAAAATACACAGAAGAGTCCAGATTTTATTATCTTACAAAGTCATTGTACTCTGTTTGGCCATTAGTCTTCCTAGGAATAGGACGATTAGTCATTATAAAAGCCATAGGCTATCAGGAACATTTGACTGAGTATGGAGTTCATTGGAACTTTTTCTTTACCTTAATAGTTGTGAAACTGATAACATCATTGCTTTTGATTATTTTTCCTCTCAATAAATCCTGGATTGTGGCAATCAGCATTATTGTGTTATACCAGCTGGCCCTTGACTTTACCCCACTGAAAAGGTTAATTTTGTATGGCACTGATGGTAGTGGCACAAGGGTTGGTTTATTAAATGCCAACCGAGAAGGAATAATTTCTACCTTGGGGTATGTGGCAATTCATATGGCTGGCGTGCAAACAGGGTCATATATGCTTAAAAAAAGATCACATGTCAAAGACTGGATAAAAGGAGCCCACTGTATTTTGCTGACAGCTATTAGTCTCTTCATATCTCTCTACATAGTTCAGGTAAATGTAGAAGTAGTATCTCGGAGAATGGCCAATTTAGCCTTTTGTATTTGGATAGTTGCTTCTAGCCTGATCCTTCTTAGCAGTTTATTACTGGGTGATATAATTTTGAGTTTTGCCAAATTTCTAATTAAAGAGGCTGTGGTACCATGTTCTTGGAAACTGATCCATTCGTCTGTCACAAATAAAAAACATTTAGAATCTCTGGTCTCTGAAGCTGAAAGAAAGGAACCCAGTCTTTGTTTAATCACAGCTATGAACAGAAACCAGTTAATTTTTTTCTTGCTGTCAAATATAACTACTGGTCTGATCAACCTGTTGATAGATACATTACACAGCAGTACTTTGTGGGCCTTATTTGTGCTCAATCTCTATATGTTTACCAACTGTTTAATTATATATGTGCTACACTTGCAAGATAAGACAATAAAATTTTGGTGATCAGTATGGGTAGGAAGTACCTGTGTTAGAGCAACATTTTAATGAGGAAGAATATTAAATGTGAAGAAAATGGGCTTTTGGCAACCCAGTGTTAACCATATTTTTTTCAACCCTCTATAAATGATGCTTAATGTTTTAATGTGTCTCAACACTATATAAAACAAACCAATAGAGAAACAAGTCTTGTGACTCATTAGAATATTTATTAAATTTCAGTATTTTAAAGAAACTGCAGTTGTGACACTGAAAGATTGGAGGGTGAGGGGGATTTTTACTTTCTTCTTACATACCATTCTGTATTTTTTTATTGTATGACATAACATTTACATGAAAACATCTCAATGTGAATTTATTGTATGACTTTTATAATAAAATTTGCGTGAAAACATCTCAGTGTGAATTGTGGAATTGTCAACACTTCTTTACTTGCTCAGTTTTAACCTTTTAAAAAAGCCTAAGTATGTGAAAGCAAGTGTTTATAATCAAATACTTAAATACTACAAAGTCAGAAAACAGTTAAATGCTCCAAATGGAATGAATTGTATGATGCAGTTTACATGCCTAGTAATTATGAGACAATAGTTTTACTTTGGGACTGATTATTTTTTTAGCCAACTCTATGCTAGGAATGATAAGCAGGTTTCCTGATATCTTGGAGCTTGCAATCTAGTGGGGAAACAGACACTGAACAACAATTATAAACTGTGTTAAGTCATGAAGTATGGGTTGCCAAGAATGTCAAACCAAGAACTGACCTAGTAGAGTCAAAGTTTTTCCCACAGATGGTATTTCTTTAAAGATTTCATTTTTAAGTAGTCTCTACACCCAATATGGGGCTCTAACAACCCTGAGATCAAGGGTTGTGTGCTCTACAGACTAAGCCAGTTAGGTGCTCCTAGATGGTATTTTTTTGAACTAGAGTTGATGGGTGGTCTGAGGACCATGTTTGTGGTTAAGGGAAGGGGTAAACAGCATTCTAGGTAGAATGTATCCTTCAGCAAAGGTCCTGAGTTGGGAGGATATCTAGTACATCTTGAAACTTAAGGCTGGAGTTCAGAAAACAGAAGAAAGTAATAAGCTAGAGAGACAGGCAGGGGCCTTATCTACTATGTTAAAGGGAAAGAGAACCAGTGAGAAAATCATGTACTAGGCTGATTTAATACAACAGCTATATTAAAGTTTAATATCCTACTGAGAATTTGAGTCATTTAAAAACTCTAAGTAGATATTTGAACCAGCTGTTCAAAATGTTAAGATTTTAAAAATATAAAATTCTTAGTTTCTGATTATAATGTTCCCTGTATATTGTTTAAAGTGGCGGGGGAAGGGGCGCCTGGGTGGCGCAGTCGGTTAAGCGTCCGACTTCAGCCAGGTCACGATCTCGCGGTCTGTGAGTTCGAGCCCCGCGTCAGGCTCTGGGCTGATGGCTCGGAGCCTGGAGCCTGTTTCCGATTCTGTGTCTCCCTCTCTCTCTGCCCCTCCCCAGTTCATGCTCTGTCTCTCTCTGTCCCAAAAATTAAAAATAAATAAATAAATAAATAAAGTGGCGGGGGAAAGGGGCGCCTGGATGGCTTGGTTGGTTGAACGTCTGACTTCGGCTCAGGTCATGATCTCAGTTCATGGGTTCGAGCCCTGTGTCGGGCTCTGTGCTGACAGCTCAGAGTCTGGAGTCTGCTTCACATTCTGTGTCTTCCTCTCTCTCTCTGCTCCTCCCCTGCTTGCACTCTCTCAACAATAAATAAATGCTAAAAAAAAAAAAAAAAAAAAAAAATTTTTTAAGTGGAAAAAAAAGAACTAAAATCTGCCTATTGTTTTCTATTTTCAAGTAGAAATCTGATCATTATAGAAATAGGCAAGGGTCAGAATGCTCAAGTTAATTTTATATTTGGTAAGCAACCTGGATTATTTTTGTAGTATGGGTGGAGCCTCCTCTAACATCAAATTTTCAATTTTCTGTTTTGATCAGCTGCCTCTAAATTAGTTAAAAATTTTTCCTTAAGTCGTTAAATATGACTATTACACTAATTGGTTTACTTCAATTTATTATGTTAATGGCTAATTTAATATTTATGTGGCATTTTTGCTAACTATAATCAATGATATTTGGAATTAATCTATTTTTTTTTTTACTTTTTAATGTTTATTTATTTTTGAGAGAAAGAGAGAGACAGAACACAAGCAGGGGAGGGGCAGAGAGAGAGGGAGACCCAGAATCTGAAATAGGCTCCAGTCTCCAAGCTGGAGAGCTGAGGAGACTCTAACAATATTGTTCTCTCAGTAAAAAAAAAAAGTAATTTAAATTATTTGATGACTAAATGATCACGTTGTCTAACTGGTCTGCTGCTTCTTGTCAGTAACTGCTCCTTCATTCTTTTCTGGGTCTTAAATATCTCTCAAGTTTATGTCTCACAATTACAGATAATGAATCATAACTTAAAAGAACAAAGTGTACTCTATGTTTTTTCCACCTCTAATTATGAAAGTCATGTAAGAGAAAGCTAATGAAATAGCTTAATAAAAACAAAACAATTAGTAAGAAAAGACCATGCTGACTTGGTTCTAGTTTATAGAAGAGAAAGAGATCGTTCATTTATTGAGCTCCAATGTACCAGGTATAGATACTGGGGAAACGAAAAGTAAGACAAAGTCCCTGCCTTCGAGGGGCTTATATTTTAACTTGTAGACATTATTTTCCCTTTAAAAAAATTTAAGTAGAGGAAATGTGTCTTTTTTTTTTAAATTTTATTTATTTTTGAGAGAGAGAGAATGTGTGCGAGCAGGGGAGGGGCAGAAAGAGAGGGTAACAGAGGATCCAAAGGAGTCTCCACCCTGACAGAGAACCTGGTGGGGAGCTGGAACTCATGAACCGCAAGATCATTACCTGCATAGAAGCCAGACAATTAACTGACTGAGCCACCCAGGCTCCTTGTCTCTATTTTCAACAGACACAACAAAACTTCCCACTGTCAGCTCATGAAAAAGAAAACCAAATTCACAGATCCTCAGATTTGGACAACCACGGCAATTTAAATAAATTTACATTCTGCTATCGATTTTACTACCACATGAAACAATGTGGTTATTATCATGAAAACAACGATGTTATTCTAATTAGCTAATTTTCAACAGTCAATTTTTTTGAATATTTTTAAGTAATCTCTATACCCAACATGTGGCTTGAACTCACAAACCCAAGATCAAGAGTCCCATGCTCCACCAACTGAGCCAGCTAGGTGACCCTAACTATCAATTTGTGGAGACAGAGAAGGAAGGGGGAAAAAGAAGAGTATAATGTGGTCTAGGACCTTATTCTATCGATGATCTTAAGGAATTGACTCATTCCCATGACTTTAAATTACCCAACTTAAACTGGAGATACCTACCAATATGTATCCATAGCTAGCTTGTGTTTGGAAGATAGCAACCAGTTTTATTTTTATTGAGCATTGATGTCCAATATGATGCATAAATCATACAAAGTTTTATTTTGCTCCCCAGGAATTTATGTGTGGTCTATGAAGATAAGAAATAATATGAGGAAAAATTAGGTCCTCTTCTTTCACTTAAACCTAAGTAGCTTGGCAATAGTCATATCTCATTCATGCTTGAGTTTTGGGGCTGGCTCTCACACATTAGGGACCAAATAAGAAAAAGAATGGTATTTTGTTGATGATTTATCACCTCTCCATCACTCCAACTGTTACTAGGTACCAGCAAAATGTCCTCTGCTGTTGACTGCCTTCTTTCCTGGCCTTCCCAATCCTTCAACCTTGTATTTCACAATGCCTATATTGAAATTTTAAAATAGGCAACAAATGGCTTTTTTATGTAATAACTTATTTTGTCAATTAGAGTTAAGTTCTCTAAAGGTTCTTAGGTTCTAAAGGCTCTCTAAATTCTCTAAAGGCTCTCTTCATGACTTAAGTCATGAAATATTTGCTGCAGCAGTATTGGTTTTAGCTGAAGCTAGACCAATAGTGAAAATGAGTGCCTGCTCTAAAATTAAGAAGATACATAGTTAAAACTTTTTTATTAAAATTTTTTAATGTTAATCATTTTAGAGAGACAGAGCATGAGTGGGGGAGGGGCAGAGAGAGAGGGAGACAGAATCCCAAGCAGGTTCAAGGCTCTGAGCTGTCAGCACAGAGCCGGAAGCAGGGCTTGAACTCACAGACTGTGAGATCATGACCTGAGCTGAAGTTGGACGCTTAACCGACCGAGCCACCCAGGCGCCCCCCCAATAGATAAAACTTCTCTAAAAATTGTTTTCCAGTGAAATAATTTTTAATTTTGTAAATGTTACTTTATTATTTTTGAGAGACAACGCACATGCACGCATGAGTGGAGGAGGAGCAAAGAGAGAGAGGGAGACAGAGAATCCGAAGCAGGCTCCAGGCTCCGAGCTGTCAGCACAGAACCCAACACAGGGCCCGAACCCACGAACCATAAGATCATGACCTGAGCTGAAGTCAGATGCCCTACCAACTGAACCACCCAGGTGCTCCCAGTGAAATAATTTTCTAAGCATTTCCCCTCAAATATTGATTTTATCATATTTGGAGCACCCAGGCTATATCACCTTACTTGCTTGAGAAAGAACAACTTATCTAGCACATTATCTACCTTTTTAACTTTACAGTAAGTATTCACTGACTACCTAAAAGTATGTGAAACACTGTCCAAAGATACTAAGCAGTGTGTTTAGTGGATGTAAAAGACAAACCCAGGAGCACCTGGATGGCTCAGTCAGTAGTAGAGCATGGGACTTTTGATCTCAGGGTTGTGAGTTTGATCCATGTTGGATGCAGAGATTAGTTAATAAAAGACAAATCCAAATCAGGGAAAGTAATCGCAGATGGAAAGAGACTGTTGTGGTCTCATCATGTTTTATATTTGGGTTTTAATGCCTTTTTAAGATTTAAATCCCCAGGGTGAATACTCAGTTCTTTGCTAGTACCCAGTGTGTGCTCAATAATGAAAGTAATTAAAATCAAAACCTATATATTGAGCTTGTCATCTTCAATGTCCTTTACTAACTACAATCCAAAGGAAGCTTAAAAGGTATAAAGCCGGTGGGGGGGGGGGGGGGCGGGCACCTGGGTGACTCAGTAGGTTAAGCATCCGACTGTTGGTTTCCGCTCTAGTCATGATCTCTCGCTTTGTGAGATCAAGCCTGAAATCAGGCTCTGTGCTGACAGCACACAACTTGCTAGGGATTCTCTCTCTCCCTCTCTCTTTGCCCCTCCCCCACTTGTGCTTTTTCTCTCTCAAAATAAATAAATAAAACGAGGTATAAAGTAGGTACATTAATTTAGTCTTTATAAGAGCACCTTTAGATCTTAAAACCCACAGTATTTTTTCCTAAGAGGAATGTTTTTACATGAAACA